GGCAGAATCAAGCGGCCGAGGCCAGGGCCAAATGAAAAGTCCTCGCTGTGTGCGCGCGGAATTAAAATTATCACAGCGGACAGGCGAGCGGGCTTTCGTGCGGAAGGCACACACCGGATGTACATTCACGCACGCAACCGGGAGCGAATCGCGCCACACGCACGAGCTGAGCAACTGGAATATAATGACAAAATTAATAATAGTAATAATAATAGTAATAATAATGGTAATAATAATGGTAATAATAATAGTAATAATAATGGTAATAATAATGGTAATAATAATAATAATAATAATAATAATAATAATAATAATAATAATAATAATAATAATAATAATAATAATAACAATAATTAAGCGAGTGAAGTGGCTCAGGGTACTGACTTTGCAGTCGGGAGGCCCGGATTCGATAAAAATATTCGTGTATAGAAGTTTCACCCGAAACCTAGCAAGAGCCAGTCGCATATGCAGAATAATTTTGAGAGAGGTTGCTAAATTCATAAAACATCAATTAGTCGAGGGCATCCGAAATGCAAACACAATAATACGATGCCGAGAACATCACGTGGACAGCGCCTGACCTCGAGAACAATTCAGTAGACACCTCCAAGAAGCTAGCAGTAAGCTTATGAACATTATTTCATGAAAAAACACGTATTGTATAATTATGTGTTTCAAACGAAAGTTAATAACGTGATTCATGAGCTCTAAACATTCTATAAATTTGATATAATAAATATTAAATTTGATTTTTGAAAAGAGGCTGATAATTCCCAATAGTTGTCATCAATTTCATAATTAGTTTGTTCTGCAGAACTTTCAAGAAATTCCGTTTGGAATTACACGTACACATGCAGTAGGTAAGTCGAGAAAAGTATGTTACACCCATAATTGGATTGTAAAGCGATGTTTGCTTGAGAACATTTTCATATTGTAAGAATTAGGGAGCATAGCAGGCCAACGAAGTAATTTTTATAGAAATAATTGCATTTTTAACATCAGTAGAAAGTAGGAAGTCATAAATTATAAATAATCGCCATTCTTACAGAAGTTTAATAAATGAAGATATTAATAAAATATTAGTCGAGTTTCCAGTTAGTAAGGACGTTATAAATTGTTGCACAAGTGGAGCAATGGAATCAAATATAAATTATTCGAATACGTTATGTTACAATACTTGTGGGGAATATGGTATACGAGAGTTGGACACTGAATCACATGTATGTCAGATGAAAAAAAAAAATAATGGAGATACCGCGCATTTTACTTAATCAGAATGTTAAATGCGAAACTTAAATTGCACAACAGGGCTAATAAAATGCATTTCTAATATGCGGAGAAAGGAAAGTTAGAAGCGGGACGCGTGTCTCCATTTATTCAAATTGAAATTATCAGCTCTTTCATAGAATCTGCATGTACCCTAATCATATATAACAAAAACTAAATCAGTTTGCGTATTGTTGCGTTAAAGTATTATCTCTCTCCCACATAACAATTAAATGAATACAAATGAAGTTATTCGGCTTTTAATCATAGTGTATATGAATATTACCAAGAATATTCGAAGGAAACAGGATACGCCAATTATCAATTCGAAATAACTACTACTGAAGTTGCAAATATTTTAACTGAACCCATATTTCTCCTGGAAATTGATACTAACGTCATCCGGTGATGTTTCCGCAAGAATAAGTGTGATATACAATATACATTCATTCTTAAACACATCTTCCACAAAGAATACTTATTCCTATTTTGAACACCGAAACAATTAAAACTAAATATGGTTGTCTACCATATTTACCAAAGAACCGACATATTACTAAAGAACCTTATTAAAAAGTTATTTCTAACCTAAATTAATTTTTCTTTTCAATAACCTTGGCTTTATTGCTTTGTATTTCTTTCTTTTAGAGGTTTACAAATCGATGAAATATCGAATTTGTGCATTAACTTAATTTGTCAGCAAATATGCAATTAATCGTAATCATAAAGAAACAAAATACAACTACACGAAAAAATACTCACAAAGTTGTTCAAACCAATCAATTTATATCATAATTAAAAGGTTATGTAACTATGCAAATATTTGAGATGTCACAAAACTTATCAATTACTCTCAAAAATTAAGATCGTAGTCTTCGCTTATTCAATATTACACTCCCTTAAATTAACGAAGTATTTTTCGCAGTAAAACAAAGAGATGTGCGCCAAAGGAAATTTAACGTTTTAATTAAACTTTCTGATACTTTTAAAGATATTAATATCAGTTGACACACCTTGAAATATAGGAATAATAATTATTTTCTTGATAAAATGTTAATATTATCAATACAATCTTTTTAGATTTTACTTCGAGTTCAATGATTCAATCATGTTACTCATTACCTTACTCTGACACTAAAACGAGTTATCAAAATAAAAAAAGGCGACGTTCTAGTTTATAAACCGTTTACTGGAAGTAAATGACTTTTGTATTTTGATGACATTGATGTAAATTTCATTGTGTCAAATTGAATTTATTCTTAAAAACGCTATAGCAGATATAAATTGTATGAGCTAAAATGATGTTAGTGAATTGAAAAGGAAAATCTTGGACTTTCTGAAATGGTCTTTGCATATTGTTTTCAACAACGCTTTGTGTGCCGGTTGTCTATTTCTGAGAAAATGGTTATTAATGAGTGTGAGAGCTTCAGTATTTAAAACCGAAAAAGATTTAATGCTTCGTTACTATTGAAACCACATTTAGATATAAATGTTGTTGGGGTTAACTGGGGATAAACTAATTCTAGACATATTTTTTTATAATGCAGATATATAATAGATTATATTGTGAAATGGAAATGATTTGTTAATATTCGAGCTTAGAGAAAAGAACGTTTTGCAAGAGATTTATTTTAATAGTAGCCTAGTTAAAATTAAAAGTATAAAAATCATGTAACTTGAAGTAAACGTAAACGTAAAGTCAACTAATGAACAAAGAAGATGCCACGTTTCAACGTCAATAGTTAATAATATTCCTTCATTTAAAAAATATCATGACGTGTTATTTAAGTCTTTTTTATGATTTTTGTTAAATGGCCGTGGGGATTTTTGTTGAATAGCCGCCACGATAGGGCATGGATTGATTAATAAGTGATTTCTGGTGCATTAACTGCCAAGGACATTATTCCAGTAAATGAAGTGCATTTTTTCGAGCGAGGTGGCGTAATCTTCCCACGCTGTTTGGCGAGTTCCGATGCCGACTTACCCTTCTGCGTGCGGGGATTTCCCCAACAAGTAATCTCCCACCAGCTGGCCACTGCTCCAGTAAGAACAAGCTCTATATTTCCGTTTGGCTGACGAATGTATTATAGTGTAGTGTGTAGCAAGTGTAAGTGTATGTAAGGAGAGAAGATAGAACGAGTAAAAGAACCAAAAGATGGCGCGCGGCCCGGCATTTACCTGGTGTTGATCGAAGAATATACGGACAAACTACTTAGCAGAGAAGCCAACCACTAGCATTCTCCAGACAGTGGATGAATTCGACCCCCCTACGTAGTGTCGAAAATACTGCCTCCTGCAGGACTCGAACGCTAGGACCACCCGATTAGATGCACTACAGCGACATCAATTGATGCCCGGCATCACCTCAGCCGTAAAGTTTTAATGGAAGGTGATGACGTAAAAATGGTACGAATGATATTGGACAGAGGTGAAATAACTTGCCGTGAACCCGCAATGCCCTCCACAAATGTCGCATGAATTGATAGAGGTTTGGATTTTGAAACCCAGGGATGGAACTATCCGAAACATCACTGCTTGTTTCGTCATCAATGGAGTAGGAAACCTCTTCTGCAGGGGAGTTGCCAATGGGGAGGGCCACGGACCCCTGGGGGCGATGCTGGCCGCGTGGGCACCGCGCCGCGCAGTCTCTGCACGGGTCGCCGCCCCGCCACATTGCCTCCACCGCCGCCACCGCACCCACAACAGCGCCCACGTCGACCCCGCCCACGCCGCCACCGCCCACGCCACTATTGCCACTACCACCACTACTGCCTCTCAGCGCCGCACGTGGGAGTTAGACGTGGGAAGGGGGGGCACTTGCGAATAGCTGCCCGGAGAGGGCCACCGCCCGCGTCCAAACGGTATGCGAAATATGTGGAGCAGCGGGATTCCAGAACGAATGAGCAAAAAGGCCTCAAGCTTGCTGCAGGAGCGAGAGAGGAATTTATGTATGAGAGTTTGACCGAGCTTCGTCAAATTGTAAACAGCGTGCGCTCTGTGGTGCGTGGTGGTCAATTATGAATGGGTGGATGGAAAGTTGCACCGCGGAGCAGAACAATGGTATTGTTATGAAAAGCGTGTGTTAAATTTCAAATTTTGTGAATCACATAAAGACTTCACTAATATTGAATTTGTCGTGGAAAATTATATTGTTTAAATGATAACATTTACTAGGACGTTACTATTTACTAGAACGGCGTATCAAAAAATTAATTTGTTGTATTTGCGGATAAATCATAGTTTAATAGTGAATAACAATATTAACAGAATCTATCGTTATAATGACCTGCTCTATTTAGAAAGTAGTACATTGAGTAGAACAATTCAATTAGGATATTAAACTATGTAGAACATAGTGTTTTATTCGCTAACTTAAAAGTAATAAAATATTAAATTATCTCTCTACATCAAGGGAGGTATAAGGGAATTTAGAAGTACGTGTTGCTCAAACCCTTTTGTTGTAATTTATCAACATATGCCATGACTGAATTGCAAACAAAATAAAATGATATTGGGATTGCAATACTCATGAGTAGTGTTATTTTAGTTGTATCGATTACAGTTATTTTGGTATGTATACTTTCAAACACTCCCACAATAAACAAACATTCATATAGTAACATACCACAATGTATCTACAACTATCTACTTACCTGACTATTGTTACTGAATCGAGTCTACGAACTTTGCTAAGATATAGTCTACACACTACCAACAGTAAGCATCAAACTTACCTTCTTTCGGAGGGACGTAGCCATGCACCTCGCAGTATGTACCTCCCGGCCCAGGCGTGTCGAGCGTAGTGAAATACGTGGCGACAGAAGAGGCTGAAATGTGATCGTCCGAGGTCTGTTGACTCTGCGATTGCATCTGAGGCTGAAAGAGTTGCTGCGACGGCGGCTGCGATGAAGGCGTTTGCTGCGCTTGTGATTGCTGTTGCTGCTGTTGCTGTTGCTGTTGTTGTTGCTGCTGCTGCTGTTGCTGTTTCTGTTGCAGTTCCTCGCGTCTACACTTGGCACACCGGCGCATCTCCGCGCGCACCCGCAAGAGCCACACCATTCCGAAAAGCGCCATCTCCGCTTTGAGTCCGGGCTCCAGCAACATGGCTATAGCAAGTCCGCGAGGCGCCGGTCGCGAGCTGCCGGCTCCGGGCCGCGCATTCTCGTGGCTTGGGCCGCAAGCCGCGCTTCTGCTGCTCTTGCTTCCCGTACCTCTACACATGCCTTATTCAATAGCCGACGACACGACACTCTCACTGGCGATCCGGACGACGCATCGCACGGGCGGCCGTCGGCTTCGCGGCCCCGTCGCCAGCGTCACCGACACCGCCGCCCTCTGTGCTGCCACCGCCTCCACCGCCGCCGCCGTCGTCACCGCAGCCACCGCCGTCTCCGCCGATCGACAGCAGTCCCTGCTGGGCACAAGCAAAGGTGCGGTGGCGATCTCCGCGAATGACATACGGGTGACCACCGAGCTTTCTGTACCGCCGCCGGAGCCATGGGGGTCCACGACACTTTGAATGCACTTGAACGCTCATAAACCGAAGACACACAAAGAACCTTCAGTTCGATAGTGTTTGCTGGTAGTATCACAAACATCTGACATTTTCGTCTATGGAACTGGGTGCCAGTCTTATAACAGTTTTCTTGCAGTGAAGAAGCATAATTTACAAATCCTGGACATTAGAAAAACGTTTTGAGTTTTGCAATTTATGTAAATTTAAAATGACAGAAGAAAGAGGACGCATATGCCTTGAATACAGAAGTGAAGATTCCATTGGTACATATATCATTATAAAATAATATGTTGTGAAGAAAGTATTTGTTTTATTGATGGTAAATAAAGACATTATGAGTGGTGATTAGTATTGCAGTAAGCGTACAAATAATCTATGAGGTACTTCAACCCGAAGATATAATCAATGTGCAAAAGAAATGGGCGGTAGATGCCGAGCGCTTACCTGAAAGTAATGAGAACCATATATTACATCCTAACTGGACTGCAGTATTTGGATGCAACCCGCCATACACGCATGCGTTTCTGTTACAGCAGCAGTCGATTAAGAGGAAGTCCAAAAATATTATATTATCAGCGGCTGAGATTAGGGTATCGTGTTCATTAATCGTTCTCCCTCAGTTTACAGTGATGTATGAAAGGAATACAGGGAATATCAAAATGCTAAATGTGTCAAGATTATGCCTTTTGAATGAAATTAACAGACTTTTGCATGATTGAAAATTCACACAACTGCTTTTGTATTACTAATTTCAAATATACCCACACAATTAGTCTACACAATGTAGACTCAGGACATGTGATAGGTGTTTATGGTTTCCTTCAACACACAGCAACTCCTGAAAGATCCAAAAACTATGATATAGTTTTGATTCTAACTGAAAAATATTGAACTGCGTTACTCCTCCTATTCTCATACTGACCGTACCGACTAATTTCTCAAACTAAGAACGTCACTGCTTATGAAAAAGCTGATGTGATGAAATAGTGAAGTGTCAAGGATGAGGTTGCCTGTCATCAAATATTCACGTGTTGCCTTATGGAACAGCAACGTTTTTTAAATATTTTCAACTTTTGGTATGTAAAAAACCGTTATACCGTGCATTCTTCGAATATTAGTGCAGTGTTTGTGATAAACGATTTTGTTAAAATATTCAATTTACTGCAGAGCATTTTATTCGTTCTTCTTGAAGAGAGTGCATGCTACTTTTTGGAAAACTATTTTATCTGCTTTCTCCACACATTTAGTAGTAAATATAGACTTACTGTCAAGAACTATGTCCTTCCAGTGTAAATGCGCTTTGCAGCGCATTCACCATTATTTCACGTATATGCAATATCTATTTGGTCTACGCACACATTAAAAAGATATCGTCTTCTAATCCTGTTTCTATCCTCCCACTGTTCATACTCTGTTACGGATTTCCTCCTGTCAGACTTTGTGGATTATACGAAATTTTAATCAATTATTGCTACATTATAACTAAAAATCTAATGCAATACCGTGCGCTTTAATGTAAGTACTGAAATAAAGCAGATTTAGCAGTTTATAATTAATCTATTACTATGTTTAATAATATTACGCAAAATTTAATATTGGAAAAGTACCAAGCATTAAAATTTCATAATAAGCACATTTTCAGGAACACTATCGACAAAATTCTAATTATATCAGGGCACCGCACTACGCTTTGAGTTCAAATTCGATAAATTCCCAGTAAACAACGTTAATTATCTACACCACTCGGCGTATACTCTCCAGAACATAGAAAGGAATGTTTCGTGGAATTTCTAACAGTACAGAATTTCCCTCGAACTCTCCAACATCAATCGCATGATCAAAGCAAAGTTCTGTTTTTTCTACTAAAGCGAATTCTAAACAGGTACTTTTGCAGTGTGATGTTTATAGGTTATCACCAGTGAATCAGAAAAAGGGTCATGGTGTGCTCCAAATTCCCTTAATGCAATGTTAATTTTAATTGTGTATGTTTTAAAGAGCAATGATTATATATTATAATGAAATAATTTGTTGTATTACACTGAACTCGTATCGTATTAATAGAAACATTAAAAGACCTATCCTTGATAAAACATTGGCACGTCATTGGTGTTGAATTCACACAGAAAATACAATCGGGAAGTTCAAGTTAACAATCAGTTCAGAGGAGAAGCGTCCATGCTGAGACGAAACCGAGAGCTACGCTAGGACAACAGTGAATCAGACATCAGACGTAAAAGAAAAAGGTAGAATATCTGGCCAAAACAGAGAAAGAATAAACGACAGGGCATAATGTAACATAAAAGGCAGAGGGCGACGAAGAGCAGCGAGAATCGAACTCTGAACGGACACATGTAAGCATCGGCAAAAAAAGCAAAACAGCAGTGAATTACACAGAAGAGGCGCAGGCGCAGACGAGGAGCAGACGTAGCAGCGAGAGAAACGAGGTGGAGCGAGAGCGGAATACGATATGCCGTTTCACGACCAAAGAGGAAACAGCGACGAACAGGAGGAAGAAAAGCGAAAAGCAAACTCCGCTGCTGCAGAGGCGACAGCGCGGCGTGGCGAGCGGGTGGACACGGGCTGTTGAGGTGACGTGGCAGCGGCGGACACGAGAACGCTGATGCAGGGTTACCACACGCGTGCTCGACGCGCGGTGACGAATCGCCTGCGGCTCTCGTTTGCCGACTGTTTACACGCCATTACGCACCGCAACAAATTACGATCCATCATCTGTTATTCTCCCTCATTTATATTTTTTGTCACGCTGTGTTTTTACCAAATCGGTGGGAATGAACGACGCCGTACCATGCCACGCGAAGCCCCACATTACATGTATTCATCTAGCTTATACAGGTCACGGCATATTGCATCGCATCAGGGGACGATTTCCAAAAATTTATCTTCGAAAACATAGGTATCCGTGTTTTTGCAATAAAAAAACAGAACACTTGTGAAAAAATTGCGTAATACAATAAAAACACGAATCTACGGTTACTGAGAGTATTGCTCTGTAATTAATCACATGGCACGATGACCAACAAGTTCGAATGGGTGGTAATCCAAAACCATGCAAATCCACAAAGTTGGTTGGAAACCTTGCACACGCTCACACAAAAAATACATTTCATACAAAATTAACTTACGTACAAAAGAGTAATAGTATTTGTTTCATATTAATGCATGATTATGTATTGATTCAATCACACATTCAAATAAATTATAAGCATTAGTAAATATTTTTTCAACAAAATCACATTCACTGCTAATAAATGATGAAAAAATATTCTCTCATCACCAGCATTTACTTTAGAATCACTCGTTTATAAACATTTGAAACTCTCAGACGTTTTCGTTACTCCTATTCAATAAGTACTACCAGTAATATTTTCACACAAAAAACTGTGTTCCTTTATACATGAAAAGAGGACAGTACAAGGTTTCGATATACTATGTGACATCATTACAAAATTCTGTAACTATTACCGCAAAGTTCTTTACGAAACGTTATTAATGCAATGCTTGTTTAGTTTCTGGAACATGTTTCGAAATTTATTACTCCGGCGTCGTGAAACTTCGTCTTCCCCTTTGCCTCTGCAGTTCTCGAGAAGAAAACGCGAAACCGGCTTTGTGTTGCGGAGATTCATTTGAGTCGTCGTCCATTCCGGCGGCAGCTGCTCCAGCACTCCTTCGTTAAGGACTCCGCGCCCCGAGCCGGCGCCGCATATTTCATTCATGAAACTCGTCCGTCTCTGAGACTCTCATCCGGCAGATCTGGACAGTCGCAGTATCCAGCTGCAAGCGCTGTGCCGACTCATCCATTCCGTTTTGCCGGCGCAGCCTTCTTTGCGGCGGCGGTGCGACGGTGGCGACGGTGGCGACGGTGGCGACGGTGTAACGTGGGAGGATGCGTGACGTTGGTGACGGTGACGCGGTTGCCGCACGTGACGCGGTACGGCGGTGGCGGCGGCAGCGTGGCATCGGGCGACGGTGGGCGACGGTGGTGAGGTGGTGACGGTGGTACGTGTGACGGTGGGCAGCGGCCGGCGGCGGCAGGCGGCGGCAGTGGCGCGGCAGTGTGGAAGCGGCTAGTGAATGCGAAGGCAGTGGGTGACGCAGTGGTGCGCGGCGGTGGCAGCGGTGGCGGCGTGGGGCGGTACGCGGGCATGGTTGGAAGCGGAGTGCGGCACGTGGGGTGGCCAGTGGTGCGGGCAGCTGGTGCGCAGTGGTGGCGGCGGTGGTGGCGGCAATGGCGGTGGTGGTGGCAGACGGAGCAGCGGTGGCGGAGTAGTGAAGATAGTGGTCATGGTAGCGACTGGCGATGGTGACGGCAGTAGTGGAGTCAGTGGGGAGACGGTGCTAAAGTAGGTGGGGGAAAGCAGTGATGAAATTCTGATTGACTGGTTATTTCGTGTTTCCGGACGTGTCAATGGCTACGAATATTATCCCCGTAAGTGTAGAAGATGTTTTATCGTGGGTGATGGCGGTGATTTTCCCCCTGTGGATGGCGAGGTCCTGTGCCGATCTATGGCCTATAGCGTGGATTTTCTCCAACCAGGTATCTCCCACCAGTGGGCCACCACTCCAGCTGGAGGAGCAAGCTCTAAGCATCTGACGTCTTCCGGCAAGTGTGTTAGTGTTGCGCATTTACGTGTGTAAGTAAGGAGGAGAATAGGACAAGGAAGAGGTAGGCAAGATAGGGCGCGGTCCGTGGCTAGTTTGTTAGGATTCGCCTTCGGCATCCGCCGTGAGTTGATCGGAGAAACCACGGAAAACTACTGATCAGAGCAGCAGAGTGCAAGTATAGCCG